GGACTTCGGGGACCTGGCCCAGCTCTCAGAGAAGGGAAGCCAGGAAGGATGCTCCCGGATCCTGCCCGGGCCTCTACAGCGCCCAAAGACACGGGACTGCGCTGTGGGAGCCGGAGGAGTTGTGTGGGGCCATCCGTGGGAGTGCCACGATGTGAGAGTGCCGCGAGGCGCCCTGCCGGGTCTGATCCCGTTTGTTCCTGCCTGGAAAAACACGCAGGAAGAGGGGCAGTCGGGGGTCCAGCTGAGCCACGCTTGGAGAATCCGTGCCCACGCACCTCACCCTGGCTGTCCCCCGTCTGCACGGAGAGCCGAGGGCAGTCCTCAGAGACGCCAGACCCCAGGCCCCTACTGGCCCCAGGGAGCCCAGGGAGCCTCCGGGGCCATTTGAAACTCTCCTCTCAGCCTCACTGTCCATCCTCTTCCCGTAACAGGATCCACATGGGCTCACACAGATGAGGAGCTCCTGAAAGGAGAGGCAGACCCGGCTTTGGCCACTGAAACAGGAAGGGAAGTCTACGAGAGATTTGGGGAGGGACTGCACTTTCCAGATAAAAACGACTTTTCAAAGAGGGGCCTCTGACCCTGTGCCTTGCTTCCCGTTTCTGGATATAGTTGTGATGCCTGGAGCAGAGGCAGCCATTTTGCAACCATCTGAACCTGACTCCTCTCCTCCTCAGAGCTTTCTGGCCTCATTTCCCACCTGCTTCCTCCTCTCTTCTCAAAGGTAGGTCATCCCCCAGCAGTGGCCTTGGGTCTGAACAGGGAGGTCTGTGGACTAGGTGAGCAGGAAGGCCTCGCTCATCCCTGGTCAGTCCCCAGATGCCGACCATGGTCTCCACGGAGATCCTAACACAAAACCTCGGGAAACCCTGATGGCTTTGAAGTCTGAGGGAACTGGGTTTCTTTCTTTTTAAGATTTATTGATTTATCTGAAAGGCAGAGTTACAGAGAGAGGGAGAGACAGAGAGCGACCTTCCATCCACTGGTTCACTCCCCGGATGGCCACAAGTGCCAGGGCTGGGCCAGGCCAGAAGCCAGGAGCTTCATCCCCGTCTCCCACATGGGTGGCAGGGGCCCAAGCACTTGGGCCATCTTCCACTTTTTCCCAGGCACATTAGCAGGGAGCTGGATGGGAAGTGGAGCATCGTGGTCCTGAACTGGAGCACTGCAGATGCCGACTTTACCCGCTACACCACAACACTGGCCCTGGGAATTGGGTTTGGATCCCCTCCCCCAAAATGCACTAGCTGTGGAACCCCAGGCCAGCCCCTCAACCTCTCTGAGCCTTGATCTCCTCATTAGGATTTCGGGCTCTTGTAAGGTTAAAAAGATAGAGCTGGTGTAGCAGGGCGAGATGAAAGAGGGCCACCTGTGCAGTCCCCGCCCCCCGAGTGCGGGCCAGGACCTGGGGACATGCGGGGCGAGCCGCACGCGGGGTCACTCCTATGACGACAGCTGATCAGGGAGAAATGCCCACGGACTTGGAATAAGCTGCCGCCAGGGACAACAGCCACCCAGCCAGCACCGAGGCACGGCCCGTATGGCCAAGGGTCGCTCTGGCCAGCAACCAGCGAGAATATCGGCCTTCGACCTCACAGCTGCAAGAAACAGAATCCTGAAGGGAGTTGGATGGGGCCTCCACGCCTTGGCGGGGGGATCCCAGCCCCGAGCCCCGCAGACACCTTGACTTTGGCCTGGTACGGCCCTGGGCACAGAGGTGGGCCGGGCCGGGCCCGGACTTCTGACCTATAGAAAGCAGGGATAAAATAAACAGGGTCATTTCAAGCCCCTAGGCTCGTGGGAACTTTGGTGCCTGGCAACTGCAAACTAATACCCCAGTGATCTCGGTTTGGACCCCACAGGAGAGCTGGCTGGGTGGTGCAAAGACGGCTGGGCGTGGACCACTCCCTGCAGCGCAGCCCGGGGCAGGTGCGAGGTACCCGGCTAGAAGCCAGCGCCCGCCACAGGCTGCTGCCGCTGCTCCCCCGCCCCCACTAACCGTGCCTTGCTGTAGGCAAGGGTTCAGCCCGCTGAGTCTGACAGCTGCCACGCTGCCCCAGGCCCCTTTCTCCGCCTGCCTGGCAGGAGCCGGAGCTCAGAGCAGATTCACACTTTTCTCAGGGCCCAGGGCAAAGGCGCAGGCCTGGAGAGAGCACAAAACAAGATCTCCGGGGCACAGGCATACCGCTGCCCTGCAGCCCCACGCCAGCGGCTCGAGAGAATCCCGCAGGGCTAAGAGGCCAGGCAGGTTTGGGCTCTTCCGTGCCCCCATTTCCCATCTCCTCTGGGGAGCCCACTCCACGGAGCAAGGCATCGCTTCCCCAGCCCGAGTGCAAAGGTTTCCTGTTTCACACAAAAGGCAAAGCATTCTCCCTAACCGACACGGACACGCCGCTCCAGACGCCTGCGTCACGCAGGGAATGCACACACTCGGACAACCCCTGGCCTTTGGGGAAGGGAAGAGCACGCGGCCAGGCCTGCACGGGCCTGCAGCAGACAAGGTAGCGAGGAAGTCGCGGCGGCTGCGGGCATCTGCTTCCCCGGCCGGCCGCCCCACCCACTCCCAACACCACCTCCAGAGACCCTCGAGGACCCACAAAAACCTGGGGCCCCTGCTCCAGAGACCGATGTCCATTTCCTTCCAGGAACCAAACAACAGACAACAGGATTAGCACGCTTCTTTAAAGACGGGACACGGAGGCAGTGCCGGGGTGGGTGGCATACCCAAGGGCACAGAAACGGAGCTGGGACCTGAACCCCGGCACACAGTCAGAGCTCGGGTTCTCCACCGCTGTGCCCGGCGCCCCAATGCTTCTCCATCCCCCCTAATCTTCAACCCTGAGTGTACCGAAGTTAGCAGAAATACCTGGTTTGCAGTACAGTACAGACGAGCCCAACACACACTCTGCCGAAGCAGGGGTCTGCACAGGTCCGACCCATGGGGCAGACTTGGCTGGGCCCCGTGGTGGCCCTGAGCTCTGGCTGAGACCCAACGCAGGACAGACATAGCAGGGGGCCCGGGGCTCCCCGAGGCACAGAGCAGAAAGTTCCTGGGGCTGCAGGGCCGGCAGAGGCAGAGGGGATCCTGGAGCTGGAATTCCTGGAAGTCGGTGGTGGCAACTCAGGATCTTCCCTGACACCCTGGCCCCCACCATCCCAGCCTCTGGAGTTCTCACCCCACCAGCCCCTCTGCCTGCCCTGCGGTGCCCCACCCAGCAGCAGGTGCCACTTAGATGCTCAGTGCGGGGACATCACACAGCCTGCGCTCCAGCCAGGGCTGGTCACGGGGTGCAGGCGAGATGGACTTGACTTTAACAGGTGACCGCGGAGTGAAGAACATGCTAGAGAAAGCCGCTCTGTGCCTCGTCCCCCTCTCTCTACTGCCTGCTCGCTCTCCCCCACCCCTGCCTAGAACCTGGACAGCTGGATCTGGCTGAGGCAGAGACAGACCCCCGTCCTCCAACGCCCACCCCCTAAGAAGTCTGGTCCTCGGGATGTGAGTGTCCTCATGGCCGAGGCCGAGGGCTCAGGGCCCAGGGGACACGGAAAACAGAGACTGGCGGCGGGTGTCTCGGGAGCCAGGGGGTATGTGGAAGTGTGGGGTCTGAGGCCGGGCCACTCAGGAAGGGGAACACGAAGCGACAGAGGCGTGAAGTCAGGGCAGGGGGAAGCGGGCATGTGGGGTGGGGGGGCTGTTCAGAGGCTGGGAGATGGGAGGGCTCCGGAGACCGAGTCAACAGGCAGGCATGATTGACAGCTAGGAGGTGCAGGAGAAGGGAGAAGAGGCTGTGGCGGCTGCTGGCGGCCGGGGAGGTGACATGGGAGCTAATGGGCCATCAGGAGTCTCCCAGCCGAGGAACTGCAAGACGCAAATGGTGCTGGGAGATGACCTGGGCCGTGGGGGAGCCGTTTGGGAACCCCTGGAGGGCTCTGCTCCAGGCAGCCTGTTCCACCTCACCAGCCCTCACTCCCACTGGCCCTGCGTCTCCAATCCCTCCCTCTCACACACCCAGTCCTCCCCACACCTCTCCCTAACGCCGCAACTTCACAGTTGGGCCACAGGGCACGGAGGAAGGCTTTGACCAAAGAGACCCCTGAAGGGGACAGGGTGGGCGATTCAGTAGGACACAGCCAGGGCTCCAGAAATTGGGGGAATGGCATCTGGGGGATCCCCAGGGTGAGCTCTGCCTGTGCCACAGTGCCCCTCTCTGTCCCAGCAAGGCAGAGGCCCGAGGCTGGCCACAGGGAACCACTAAGGGTCCCCCCCACCCATTCTCCACCCTCTTAATGCCGGGGCAGCCTCCTCCCCCCAGCTAGCACACAGCCTGGCACCGGGGTCAACACAGCTCCTAGAGACAGCGACTGCCCCCAGCCCTGTACAACACCCCACAAAAGTGCCCCTCCTTCTCCCCTGCTGCCCTCCAACCTTCCAGTCCCTGAGTTCAGATTTTAGACCCAAGCCGTGGTCTTTCTGACCGGCGCCACTGTACGTAGGTGTGGGTTATCCATACCTCGGTGGGAATGGCTCCAACGCACCCTTTCCCAAGAGTGGGCTCTGTCGGGGGTGGGGGGACGGGTGAGGGCAGGCTTTAGAATTCTGGGGTCTAGGGTGCAGGGGCAAGGAAGGCACAGCAGCTTGGGGGGCAAGGGGCAAAGCACTCACTTCCACGCGTGGGGAGGGGTGGATCAGCTGGACCCCCCGTGTGGCGCTTAACCTGCTTCCCCTGGGCACTCAGGCCCCGACCCCTGTTCCTGCGCTCCCAGCTCCTCCCAGCAACAGCCCGGGGCACAAACTTTCCCGGATGGGACCCCAGCCCGCCTTCCCCTTCGGCCGTCGCCACCCTCCCTCCGCCGGCTCGATCGCGATGGGGCAGGGGGCGTCCCGGGGCGAGGACGCTCCGAGAAGGGAGGTGCGCAGAGGCAGAGGCGCTAAGCGGCGGGAGCCGCGGGGCATCCAGGGGCAGGGGCGGGGCAGGGGACCCAGCCCGCGGGCGGCTCACCTGCAGGACACGGTGATCTCCACCTTGGTGGCCGGGATGCTGCCCGCCAAGGAGTCGAACTCGCTCAGCGACGCCATGTCCTCGGGCGGCTCCATCGCCTACCGCGCCCCCCACCCCAAATTAGTCAATTCCTGCGCGATTCACGCCTCCTCCGGAGCGCCCGCAGCCCGGGCTCACCCCCAACTCGGGAGCTGGGCTGAACAGCCACGGGCAGAGAGGAACGCCGAGAGGGGGCGTGGGAAGTGAGAGAGGGCGGGGGTGGAGCGGCGGGGCCGAGGCTGGGGAAGGGGCGCGGGCGACGCGGCCGGCAGCCCGGGGTCTGGGGCGCCGCGCGGAGTGGTGGCCAGGGGCGCGGGGCCAGGGGCGAGGGACGAGGGCTCGGGAGACCGAGAGAGGGGCGTGGGCGGCGGGGCCGGGACGAGGCTGCGAGCGCCACCTCCTCGGCTCGAGCTCCGGCTCCGGGGCGCCCGGGCTGCGGGAAAATCAAATCTGCCCGAAGCCGCCGCCTCCCGCCTCCCGGGCGGGCTGCGTGCGGGGCCCGCGAGCGCCGGAGGGGCCGCCCGCAGGGGCCGGGGCGGGGCCGCGGGCGGGGTCTGCGCGCTGTGCGAGGGCGAGCGTGCGGGCCCGTGTGTGTCTGTGTGCGTGGCGGGCGTGGGTACGCGGCTCCGGCGGCTGGGGACCTGGGGTTGCCAGCCAGAGACGGTCAGGGTCGCGCGCGTCTCCCTCTGCGCCCGCTCTGCAGCCCCTCCCCCTCAAAGGTCTCGGTGCTGGGGGAGGGAGAGCGGTGTGCGAGCCATGGGGCCACTGTTAGAGCGGACAGGTGCAGAAGACCCCCGGGGAATGCTGGGGATAGGGGACCTCGGTCCAGAAGCGGACTCCCCATCTCCTCCTGGGGCAGTGTGCGGCGACCCCAGGCCGGGAGGGCCACTCGCTCTCCCACGACAGCCTGCTGGCCTGGCCAGGGTCGATGCTCGGGCGCTTCCCCCGTGCCGCCTCCGGGCTCGCAAGTCCGCCGCCTGAGCCTCGCGCCCGCACCCTCCCCACCGCCGCCTGTCGTGACCACCCGGCTGAGCCAGCCCCCGGGTCTAGAAGCTTCCTCCACCAAACCGGCCTCTCCGCACGGAGTAGGCGCCTGCTGTGTGCAGGGCTGCAGGCCCTTCACTGGGGGGTGAGAGGGGGCCGCGAGGTGGCCCAGCGCGGGGGCCTTGTCTCCGGCCTCCACCTGCGCGCCCACTGCCGGAAAGCACGTGGGCGGGGAGCAGTGGCGCCTTTGGGCCTTGACCTGCTGTTGGGGCCATAAGGGACGCTCCCGGTTCTGTCAGAAGCCAGCTCCCAGAACAGCAAGCGCAAGAACACATTCCTGGGGCTGGGAGGAGTGTTCCCAGTTTCCTTCCAGTCCTGGATCGGCTGAGCCTGGTTCTACCACCTGCAGCACACAGCAAGGGGCAGTGGGGTGACGCTGGGTCAGGAGCCCCCCACCCCACCCCACACCCGCTGTGGGGCTGCACCCGCGGCTTCCCCTCTCAGAATAACCCAGCTTCCTTGCCTGGGGCTGCAAAACCAGATTTAGAATCTCTGTGTCAGCTGCCCTCCGCTCCCCTACCCTAGAAATGCTCAACATGGAATAGGTGGAATAGGTTCTCCACTCACTCCTTGTTATGCACTGAGCGCCGGCTGTGTGCCCAGCAGACTCTAGGGCCACGTGGGAAACCTGGCTGATAACAAAGATTACCACTGTTTTATTTGCAAAGAGCTGGACCAGACACCATGCTTAATTTTTTTTTTTTTTTTTGCTATGTTGTTCACATACCATAAAATCATCATTTATGCACTTAAGTGGTTTGTAGTCTCTTCACAGGGACCATGTAAGACTTTTAAATTTCTTTAAATAATTCTAGACAGGGTATTATTATCCACACTTAAGGAAGCCAGTGCCCAGAGAGGTTATACAACGTGCCCATGATCACTTAGCTGGGAACTGGCAGAGTGGGGACTTGAACCCAAGCAGTTGAGACCAAAGCCTGACCCTGCATTAGAGGCCTGACTGCCTCTTAGGACGGGGCCAGATGATGAAAGGTCTTAAAAGCCACTCAAGAAATGAGGCCCTGTTTGAGAGGGCAGTGGGAGCCACTAAAATTGTTGAGCAGGTAAGTGGTGAGATTGAAATTCTACCAAGTTGGGGCTGACACAGTGGGTTAAAGCCCCAGCCTGCAGTGCCAGCATCCCACATGGGCGCTGGTTCAAGTCCTTGCTGCTCCACTTCCAATCCAGCTCTCTGCTATGGCCTGGGGAAGCAATAGAAGATGGCCCAAGTCCTTGGGCCTCTGCACCCACGTGGGAGACCTGGAAGAAGCTCCTGGCTCCTGGCTTCGGATCAGCTCAGCTCTGGCTGTTGCAGCCAATTGGGGAATGAATCTCTCTCTCTCTCTCTCTCTCTCTCTCTCTCTCTGGCTCTACCTCTCTCTGTAACTCTGTCTTTCAAATAAATAAAATAAATCTTTAAAAAAAAAAAAAGAAGAAATTCTACCAAGTAAACCTGCAAAGTGCCAGCATTTGGAGTAGCAGCCCTAGGGAGAGTCAGTCTCTCTCTCTCTCTCTCTCTCTCTCTCTCTCTCTCAAGATTCATTTATTTATTTCAAAGGCAGAGTGGCAAAGAGAGAAGGAAAAGCAGAGAAAGATCTTTCATCCACGGGCCCACTCACCAAATGATCGCAACAATCCCAGGCTGAGCCAGGCCCTGGCCAGGCCCAAGCCAGCAGCCAGGAACTCCATCTGGGTGGCAGGGGCCCTAGTACTTGGGTCATCATCCACAGCCTTCCCAGGCGCAATAGCAGGGTGCTGGAGCAGCTGGGACTTGAACCAGTGATCTTAGGAGATGCCAGGGTGGCAGGCACCAGCTTAACCCCTGTGCCACAACGCCACACCCCCCTCCCTTCTCTTTCTAGAAAGATGTAGGACCTTGTCTGTGTTACCCCAGTTCTCTCTTAGTCTTACATTTTCCATGGCTGGCTCTTTGGTAAAACAAAACCAGACACGCTCTATGGGTACCCCTTTGTGCCAGCTGCTGACCTGGGATCAGAGAGTAAGAAGGTGAGAAGAACACAGCATCTGCCCTAAGAGTGTCCCCAGGACAAGCAGACAGGTGAAGAGGGCCCTGGGACCAGAGTGGCCAACAGCTCTGCACCCAGAGCAGGACCAAGGCAGGGTCAGGAGGCACTGACAAAAGGGGGTCATGCTGAGATGGATGTGGGGGGTGACAGCTCAGGGTGGCTCTCCCCCGAAGCAGCCCCCGAGACCAAGATGTGGCTGTGAGCGGTGTATTTGGGCGGCTAAGGACACGTGGCATAGGGCATGGGGCATGTGAAGTTGGCACAGGGAGGGGAGGCGGCCAGTACAAGGTGCGGTGCTGGAGCCAGCGATTCCTGTGGGCCACTGGCTGCTCCCCTGGGGAACTCTGGGAGATCACAGCCATGTGGCAGGGCAGGGAGCTAGGCAATACCACCCTGGTGCAGGCTGCGTGGCCGGGGGCTGCCCCTGGCGTTCATGTCCTGGCACTTCTGGCCTGACCAGCACAGGGTAGCCATGCAGGTTCCAGGAGCCAGAGGAAGCCTCAGGCGACGAAACGCAGGTGCTGGCTGTAGGCCGTGGGCCTGGAGAGGCCCAAAGTGGTAAAGGCGAGGGCTGGGGCCAGGCGGCGGCTACTGCAGGGGAGGCCTTCTGCCAGGGCTGTGGGGCTGAGCAGGCATTCCTGGCGGGGACAGCATGATTAAGGGCCAGAGAGCCAGGGCAGGGACCTTGGTGTGACGGGAGCATAGGGTGAAGTTGGCAGGCGTGGAATCCGAGGCCAGAAGTTGAGGCAGAGTCATGGCCTTCCCCTGGCACAGGGGCCATTCAGGAGGGGCCCCCAAAGGATGGATGTTTCCATGGCACCAGCCAGTGGTCCCAGAACACAAAACTTGCGGATGAGGCGCAGGGGACTGATGCTCCCAGTCCTTCTTGCTCGAATACATTGCTGATGGTTCAAATGCGGCCCCATGGACACTGCCATTGGCCGCTGTTGGGGGACCTGATGATGCCAGGTAACCGTGGTGACCTGTGATGTCCAGGCGGGCCAGCAGGTGCAGCAGACGTGCTGTCTGGTCCCGCAGCCAGATGAGAGCCAGCGGTGGCCCTGCCCCGCCCCGCCCCCCCGCCCCCCACGGGACCACTGATTAAGAGCTTCGAGCACGCAGTGGGCCATGTCCAGAAGATGCAGAATACTCAGCATCAGCATTTTGCTTTTGCCTTCCAAGACAGCAAACGTGCTCTCATCTGACCTAATCCTGGTGTTAATGACGGCAGAGCAATTTCAACAGGCAACTCCCAGCATCCATAAGGAGAGGAAAAGAACCGCGGAGGAGACAGCTGCAGGCCCCGCCCCTGCCCCTGCTCAGCCCTGACTGAGGCTGGGGATGGGGGAGAAGAGGGAACATCTGTGGGCCAGGGACGTGGGGGCTGTGCACACTGCACCGCAGAACAAACTAGAAAAAGACATCCTTTACTGTGGGTAGATGCAACCTGCAGCCAGACTGGGCACACGGCCTGCTGGGCAGAGTATGGGATAGATTGAGCCCCGACTTAGCCCTCAGCTGGGTGCCCTTGTGCACCGCGGCACACGGTAGCCCCAGAGGCAGGAAGGAGGCACGGAGGGTGTGGCAGGAACTTGAAGCTGCCAGAGTGGTAAAGAGGCAGGGGCGATGCAGTGTCTGATTGCATCCATTAATAGAAATACTAGAAGGGGCCTGGCGGGAGACCATCTGGGTTAAGCTCTCTCTTGTACTGAAAAGCTTCGAGATGGCGGGTGATGGACTCGGGGCCACCAGACTCTTCCCACTAATAACAGCGAGGTCAGCGCCCAGGAGCCGCACTGACCTGCCCACCTCCGAAGCTGGGCGGAGAAGCCACGTTCTGTCAGGGCAAGGAAGAGCATGAAGCCAGCCCTGGGACTCTGCACTCCTCCAGCTCTCATTCCTCCTGGAAGGCTGCAGCCTCCCTGCCAAAGGCGCCACCGTCCCACCCTGACACCCCCCTACCCCCACCTCCTGCCTCTCCCCCATGACAGCACCAGCAGGCACAGCCATGTTGCAGTCCCAGGGCCCACCTGCTTTCTGTCCCCGAGATCCGCCCTTCCCACCCTGCCCTGCCCTGACCCCTGCCTGGAGCCCGGTGGGCACCTGCACCCTCTCCCACTTCTGCTGCCTGCCTCTTCCTCCCAGCCCCTCCTGCTTTTCCAAGTGAGGGAGGCCTCCTTGGCCTTGGGTCTAGCGCCTGGGCAGGTTGTGTCACTCCTCCACTCCCCCCTTCCCCGGGACCTCTGTGGCTTCCTGCCTCTCTTCTTTCTGCCCCCTCCCTGACAGCCATTCTGGCCTTTTTCCCAGCCCCGCAGCCTCCCGCCTCTGGGCCTTTGTACATGGGACACCCTGCCCTTGGGCTCCCCAGGTCTCGGTTGAATGTCCCCTCCAGACGCTGACCAGGGTGCCCCAGACCTCTATCCCCTCTCTCATGGCATTTTCTGTGTCTGTAGCTCTCTGCAG